CTCTGCACGAAGCAAGAGACTTCGGAAACGAACGCCAAATTGCATCACCGACTCAGACGACCCTTGGCAAAGACGATGCAATTGTTGGAAGGCATCATCATAATTGTTGGCATGTCCGAACACGCATTTGAAGACATCCGGGAGAACACTCCAATCCCCATGAGTGGCTGCGCTCAAACCATTGTACCACTACAATGCCATCCCTTAAAGACACATGGGAAACTCACGCAAATATCGAGCATCATCCCAAAAATGATATGTGGCAATCACCGTGAAGTGATCGAACCAATAGTACACATCATCCCCAGGATTCCTATGAAAGAACTCCGGCCGAATGCAAAGATTGGCACCAAGAGTAGAAGGAGTTGTACCATGTGTTGTGAATGTTGCCATCAATTGAGTTTCATTGTTCAATTGCAAGCGTATAACATCAAGCAATTGGACCAACTACTGCTCTAGAGTCAAAGGAGGAGATTGCTGATCTGCCATGAAGATGAACGAAAAAGAAAGAGTAAATGAAGAGAAATAACAAAAAGCTAGAAGGAAATGGTAAATCTAGACAATGCAAAAAGCTAAATCTAAACCAAAATTCTGAAAGGGAAGAACAAAAGAAAGGAAATGGAAAAAGCTAAATCTAGATGATGCAAAAGCTAAATCTAAACCAAAATCCCAAATCCAAGCTCTCCTCAAGGACAATTAAAAGTGCCCCTCACCTCCACTAATGTGAGTGCTTGGAATATGGAAAGGGAATATAGAAAATGTGCATATTAATTAGCTCAAAAACCCTAGCTTATATATAGGAGCGAGTGGTCCGGATTGAAACCAATCCGACGGCTACCAAAATCCCACTACGCTAATATTAGTATACGGCATCATAGCCGTACACTTAGCCCTCACATCTTTAATTTAATATCTTTTAGAGATAAAAACTTAATATTTATTATATTTAAGTCTACCACTCTAGAGTTTGTGCAATAAAGGATTTAAAGGTTTGTGTGATAAAACTCTCCAGAGAAAAAAATAGTGATAATTTTCTTCTCTTAGAGAGTGATGAGATTAGAGAAGAAGACAATTTAACTCTTCTAAAAAGTCTTGTAATTTTTAATAAAGAGTTTTATATTGTATTGTTTTAAACTCTTTTAAGTAGAGTTCCCATTGTAGAAGTGAAAAGGTTGATCCAATCCCTTCCTTCTTTTAGCAAGTCTAAAAGCTACTTAGAGGATTACTATGCATTTAATCTACATCAAATAAGGAGAATTTAAGTATATAATATATTTAACATCTAAAATGAAGTAACAAATCCCCCCTATAAAGCAAAAATTATGGTTATTCATAGAGCTACCGAGAAGCACTCATCAAACTAAAAAATAGTGATACTATTAGCAATCAACTTTGAGGTATCACAATTAATTTCATAGATGCTTGCATTGCAATGTTGTGGCAAAAAAAAAAAAAACAGCTAGATGATATTTAGGTTTTATGGATTAAAATACTAATCTTTTTTATAATCCAAGAAGAAAATGGTAGACAAAGGAACTTCACATGGATGCAACTAATGTGGCAATATTATTAACATAAATATATAATAAATATTAAATTGTCTTGACATCCATAAATATAAAGATTTACTAGAAAGACAAAGTGTTATATAACACTTATGTTTGCAAAAAAGATTGTATTTTAAAGCACTGTCCAATATTGTCTAAGTGGAGAAGGAACAGAAGTGTGTTATATATCATAAGCTATTTCAAATGTATTTATATTTTTACTCTTATGACAAAGAGGAAAATATTCCAATATATCATAATGAGGTTGAGAAGTGTTTACCAACATAGATCTAGATTTTAACAAAGCACTTTAGTCATATTCCTAATTCACTACAAAATAAAGTGTTATTTCCAATTCATACGTATGTACTTACAAATAACATTAAGTTTATTTGTGTTAGCTAATGTCTTTAAATTTGATATTAAGTTTTATGTCCAAGATGGTAAAATAGCAGTTATCTCAAAGGTGTGATACAATTTACATTGAGCACTTGCTATGTGTGGGTAGACATGTCATGAGATATATGTCACCATTAGAAAAGTGTAAATGCTAAAGGTTTTTTATGTGTTTGAGGGAAGTGGGAGCAATATCTTTTGTCCTCTTCTCCTCTTTCATAATATTGTATTCTTTATTTTCTTCTTTTTTTCTTAGCATTTTATTCCTTATTTTCTTCCTTTTTTCAAGATTGTCATCTTGAGAAAAACTTTATAACAAAGCCTTTAGTTTTTTCTCAATTTTATCTAGAGCTAAACAATCACCCTTACTTGGCTAAAAATTTTTCTACAATAAGAAAACCTGGTTATGATCAATATTTTAAAACATTCTATAGTTTATTATAGTGTCTGTCTCTTTCAACTTCACCATTATGCAATTAAGCATGTTCATCCTTATATTGTCTATAACTCCATAACCAAGTCAAAATGTTTTTATAAGGTTTAGGGTTTAGGGTTACTGTATTTTATAGTTGAGTGCCCTTGATTATGTCTAAAACCGTGATACTATTGACCAATATATAATGGCACAATTGCTTGATCCTCAAAATGAACATGGAATTTCTAAAATAATTACATCTCATATGATACATAGTCCATGTGAGCCTTTTTACCCTAATAGTCTTTGCATGGAAAATGGAATTTGCTCAAAAGGTTAACTAAAAAAAATTAATTATAAAACTGTTCTTAGTGTTGATGGTTATCTAGATTATTATAGACCTGATAATGGCTGCACATTTCTAGACAATGGGTGCTATATTGATAATTATTGGGTAGTGCCTTATAATAAATACCTTTGTAAAACATATAATACTCATGTTAATATTGAAATTTGTGCTACTATAAAAAATATTAAATATTTATTTTAATATATTTATAAAGGTTATGATTGTGCTATAATTGAAATCCATTCAGCAACCCAACAATCTGATAATATTTTAAATTGGGATGAAATCTCAACTTTGTTAAATACATATTACATATCTGCTCTAGAGGCAATATGGAAATTTTTTAAATTTAAAATGCATGGTTGTTCAACCTCTATAATCTGTCTTTTTATCCATCTTCCAAATTTTTAAGACGTCTATTATATAGAAGGTTTTAAACAAATAACACTTCAAAGAATTACTCAAAATGGTACGATATTAACAAAATGGTTTAAGTTATAAATGACCTAAATGCTAGATAATATACATACCCTGATATCCCTTTATATTATACATTTAGCCCTTATACTCATAATTGAAAAATTTGACATACAAGAAATGTCATTCCCCAAATATATTTTGTGTCACCAATCAATGTTGAACTATATTATTTACATTTTATTTTACTCCATAAAAAAGGTGTTATGTCTTTCAAAGATTTCAAGACATTTAACAATATTTATTATGACACATTTCAACAAGTTGCAAATGCAATGGGGCTTATAACTGATGATACTGAATGGGAAAAATGTTTAAAAGATGCTTACTTTTTTAAAATGCTATCACAATTAAGACAATTATTTGTAATATTTTGTATCTTTTGCACTCCAAAACATCCTTACTTCTTATAGAATAAATTTAAAGATTTCTTCTCTGAGGATTTCATGCAAACGAATCATTATGAACATGTTTTACACAATATAAATATTAAAATGAAAATGCATGGTAAAACTAATCAAACTACCACCTACCTTTACTGTCTGAATGATGATAAAAATATTGTCAACTCAACACAAATATATCAAAATGTTTAACAAAATATTCCTCGATTTAATCAAGAACAATTAAATATTTTTAATGATATTCTTAATGTTATTGATCACCCAATTGAGCATAATTAATACATTTTCATTGATGGACTTGGTAAAACATTTCTTCTTAACACTCTTATAAATATTTGACAACTGAAAAAAATAAATATTGTTAACATGACTTGGACAAAAATTGCAAGTACTTTACTCTATAATGGCCAAACTTCACATGCTATTTTTAAATTTCCTATTCCAATAAATGAAATATCAACTTCTGCTATAATTGTTAATAGTGAAATAGATATAAGAATCAAAACTATTAACATATTGTTATAGGATGAAATAAGTATGGTTCACACTCATGCATTCACTACTGTTAATTGAGTGTTGTGAGACTTAAAAAATACGTCATTACCTTTCGATGGCATAATTGTTGTCATTAGTGGGGACTTTAAATAGACACTTTCAGTCATTCCACATAGACAAGTGTTTCAAGTTTTGTAAGAATGAATAAATAATGGCGATTCTTTAAAAAATTATTTTAGAAAATAAATATATGGCTTGCTGAAAGTGATAAATCATAGGTTGAATGTCTTATTAAAGTCGGAAATGGTGAAAATTTTCAAAATTTACCATCTTTACTTTTTAACTTCATACATAACTAATTTATTCATTTATTATTGATTTTACCCTTCAATACTTGATATTTCAAACCCTTATATTGCAGCCAATTAAGTCATATTTACCCCATGCAATCAATAACACTATTATCTCTAAATTACAAGGTGATACATATATCTATGAAAGTATTGATTTGTTGATATTAAACATCTTGAAAACTTTTCAACAAAATTCCAAAATTCTATCACACCTTTTAATCTTCCACCACATAAACTCTTTCCCAAATAAGGTGTTATTTTTGTCCTCCTAAGGAATATATCTTCATCAGCATGCAATGGCATATGTCTCATCCTAAAAAATGCACTACCAAATGTTTTAAATTGTGAAATTGTGATGGGGCAATTTAAAGGGACAAGAGTTTTTATCCCATATATCAAACTAATACCATCAAATATAGAAATTCTATTCAAAATGTCTAAAAGACAATTTTCAATCTGTTTGGGTTACTGCTTAACAATTTCTAAATGCCAAGGATAGACATTTGATTAAGTTAGAATTTACTTGCCCCACCCAATTTTCACTCATGGAGAACTTTATGTGGCTTTATCAAAATGCACATCACTATTTGACTTGGAATTAAAGTTCAAAACACCACATGCCAGGGCTGCCTCCTTCCTCAAGATCCTTTTGTTTTACTGTATATAAAGAAGTTTCATATTAAACCTCTTTGTAAACCACCCAGCATTTGCTGGGCAAGTACTCGTAATCCATAACTCTGAAAGAATAAAACAAAATTATATTATACCAGAAAAAGGTGAAATAAATTCAGTAATGTTATCGCACCTTCAGGCCTTGTACAAGCCCAGTAGAGCGATCACAGGCAAAGCCCAACAGATCAAGAGCCAGCGCCGCAAGCTTATTGGAGATCTTGGCGTGATTGAGCGCATTGTAGGACTGGACGAAGCTGCCGAGCGTCACAGTGGACGATGCGTCCTCTTCGTAACCGTTGTTGATGAGCCTTCTCATCAGGCGGAGCGTCCTCGTCTTTCTCTCTTCATCCGCCAGATCGGACTTGCTCTGGCTCTCCTCCTCGATCGCGAGAGACGGCGGTGCCGTGATGAGCGCCGAGGCAGCCGAGTCCAGCGCGCTCAAGTACTGGACCACGCCCTCCCGGAGAAAAGTATTGGAGGATTCACAGCAGCCTTCTTCTTTCACGCAGGCAGCGCACAGTTCCCTGTCTTCCCTGCAAGATATTATCCTCGCACTCGATCCAAAGCTTCTTAAGAAACTGGAGCTTACTTGGTCAGGAAATAGATCCACTCGCAGAGTGACAGACACTTGTTGCACAGGCGTATTGAATCGTCCTTGAATTCCTGGTAAGGCCCGGAAACCCAGTCAGGCACGTCCTTTAGCACCGGGAGGAACACGCTGACAAATCCATGCAACGTCGACTGGAGACGAAAGAAAGCTTGGTCAGAGTTGGCAAGCACGAACAAACCGAGTTACCTTGTTCTTGGGATGTGGAGAAGACACTGGCTTGGCTGAAGAGGCTGGAGAGCTTAGATCCTCCATAGGTGGCTGTTTTATGCGCCTTGGTCGAGGAAGAGCTTCGAGACCTTGATCCCGGGAGCTTTGATCAGCTGAAGAAAATCGAACAAGTGGTGGAGGAGGTGGAGAACTTGGAAGAAGGTTTACATCCTTATCTGAACAGCGCCGACGAGCTCGAGAACTTTGGTCGACCGCAGGAGGTGGAGGAGGAGCCCGAAAACTTCGCGTCCGACGAACTGGGGAATCCACTGGAGTAGCTTCCGCAGGAGCTGGCGAACTTTGTGGATCTCGAGAAGTTTGATCAGTTCGAGGACTTTGATTCGCGAGAAGACCCCGAGGACTTCGATTACGAGGAGCTGCCGCACTCTGGTCCCCTACTATAGCTTTGGGAGGAGCTGGAGAACTTTGATCCCTTGGAATAGCTTCTATACCGTCTAGCGAACTTTGATCTGGAGGAGCTTGACGACGGACCGGCAGAGCTGCTGCTAGAGAACCTTCCGGAGCAGCCGGAGAACTTTGATCAGCTGGAGAAGCTCGAAAACCATGATCAACAGCAACTGGAGGAGGTCGGGAACTTCCACTACGATCTGATGGCGCTGGAGAGCTTTTCTTCGCAACCACCGGAGGAGCTGGAAGTATTATAACGTCTGGAGGAGCTCGGGAACTTCCACTACGATCTGATGGCGCTGGAGAACTTTTCTTTGCAACCACCGGGGGAGCTGGAAGGATTATAACGTCTGGACAAGTTCTTGGGGACGATAACGGACTGTCCGGATCGAGGTCCACTATTTCCCTGTAAAGCTTTTGGACGGAAGAAAGCTGTTAGTACACAGATGAGGAAGAACACAAGCGAAAACGAGAATGCCACTTACTTTCCCCGGAGAAAGAAAAATCACATCGTCTGGGAAATCCTCTTGCCTTTCGTCCTCTCCACGGGCCAGTTCTTCGATCTATAACTCCGGTTAATCAAACGAGAAGACGAAGGAAATGCAAACGATAAAACTCACTGGTGCCGCTGGCTCTTGATCCAGAATCGCTGCTTTCTCCTGAAACGGGAAGACGAAATCAATCTCTAGAAAGCAATGAGATCTCACCTCAGGGGCAGCCTCAATCCGCGGTTTCTTCTGGCGATTGTAGCGATTTCCACGAGAAATCCACGAATCACGACACAATGTACACATCGAACGACGCGGAGGCTTACCTCTGGCAGCGAGAACCGCTCGCGAATCGCCGCCAGCTCCGTGTGAAGCGTTCGAATGCGCGATTCCCAGCTCTCCTCCTTGCGCTTCGCCATGTCAGTCGAAGAACCCTAACTGGAGATTAAAAATCTAACGTGTTTTAAAAAGGGCAAACCCTCCGTACAATCCCTGTCAAACGGGAAATCACGTTTTCCGTACGTCTCTCTTCTTTGTTCGTCTTTCTTGACTATAGGCTGGAAGCGAGCGTTTCGTGGATGAATTCCGCGATCTCGTTGGCCAGTTCGCAGTTCTGGCCAATCTGCAAGAGAAATTCCTCACGTCAGTCACTCGTGATCGACTTGAAAGAGAATGATTCTCTCTAAAAGATCGATCTTTTAGATCGATCAATCACGAAAGAACTGGAACGAGGAGGAAGGGAGCTTAGTACCTTGACTTCGAAGGCGTAGAGCACCGTGTGATCGATCGTTGTCACGTTGGTGTGGAGGATGCTAAACAGCAGCTTGTTCTCCAGCGCGGTCATCGTCTTGAGCAGCTGCCCGGGTTTCTTCTGCGAGAGAATCTTTATGTTTGCGTTGCTGCCCGTGATCTTCACCTCCACCTGGGCGATCTCCGACTTGGCCTCCCCGTACAGCTCGCGCAGCGGCTCGTACAGCCCCGTGTCGAAGTACTTGACGTCGAGTGGCAGCGGTGGCGGCGGCGGCGGCGCTGGCGGCGACGCTCGGATCATCCCGCCACCACCGCCAGGGAAGCCGGCGGCCACGGCTTGGATGATCGTGGTTGGCGATCCCAGCATTCTCGGCGGTGCCTCCACGAAGCTCATCTTGCGCTTCTTCTGCTCCTCGAGGCATTGTAGCAGCTGCTGGAGCTCCTTGACGAACTCGATCGCGCCGCCGATGATCGAGGCCTGGTCTCCCTGCAAGAACAATGAGTGTTTCGTAGTCAGTGACAATCGCTACTTCTCTCTCTCACACGCACGAATATGAAAAGCTGATTGAGAGGTGGGCAGCCAGTCCCTTTCTATCTCACAAAAACTCGTGATGAGCTCATCTGGAGCTCACGACGATCTAGCCATGAAAAAATAGCGAAGAGAAAAGCATGGAAAAAGCGAAAAAATCAGTTTTTGAGCAATCTGATGGAAGAAGAAAAAAACGAATAGCGAAGAGAGAAAAAAATGGAAAAAGAGAGTAGCAATCTAGCTATCTATTGATGAACCAGAAAAAGAACGTACCCGCTGGACGTAAGATCCTGGCATGAGAGCGCGAAGAACTCGTAGATGCTCGTTCATCTGGCGTCGGCGATTGCGCTCCACTGCGATGTGCGTCATTCGCTGGCTCTCCACTTCCTCGCTGCTCTTGCAAGGCCTGGATCTCTTCCGCTTGGGCTTGTTGCTGGTTCTTGTCGTGGTCGCCTCGAGGACGGAGCTAGATCTGGAAGCTCCTCCCCACGAAGAATTGGCCTGGAACGACGCTGTTGTTGTGTTCTTCTTGCCATTGATGTCGCCCAAGGAGTGGAAAGAAGCGTGGTGATCTTCGTCGTAGTCAGTCCAGAGCTTGGTTATTCCCGGAGCTTCAATCTCGACGCTCGAGGGAGAGGCTTGCTGCAGCGTCAATCCCTGCTGCTCGAGCTCCTCGGCTTTGTCCGAGCGCCCCGCAAACATGGATCGACTTAGTAACTGGAAGGAGCCGAAGCCGCCGCCACCGGGATGCTCGTCTTCCGGAGTCCTGGAAGAAGCTCCTGCTGCTGGAATTCCTCCTCCCCCGCCATCTCCTGCTCCTCCTCCTCCTGCTGCCGCTGCCGCTGCAGTAGTTCCTTGCTCGGGAAAGGCTGAAATCTCTGGAAAAATCGCCTTTTCATGCAGTGACGAGGAACTGGAGCTGTTGTTGGCGGCGTTGTTTGAGAATTGCGACGAAGCGAACATGTCGAACAAGGTGCTGCTTATCGGAGTTTCATCACCGCCGGCGCCGCCACTCACACTCTCGTGCTCGAGAATATCAATCCGGGAGATCTCGTCTGGCGAGGACAGCCTCGGTGGTCGCTGCATTATCTCCGGAGCTGCACTGGATTGTACTCCTGGCATCTGCTGCTGCGACGAGACCACACGTGAACTTCCTTCGGTCGGAATCACTGTGGTTGCGTTAACTCGACTCGAGCGTGGAGGAGGAGAACAGTCGCGAGGAAGTGGAAGAACAAAAGCTCGCTCGTGGATCCAAGCAGACCCAGCCTAGTAGAAAACTTTGTTCGTCTTGGTTGTTTTGTTTACCAGCAGCCAGCCTCCGTGAATCGTACGCAGCATCACGAGCACAGCCGGGACGACGGGGTCTCTTTTCTCTCTCGTCGCGTGGAATCCGAATAGAAAAATGTTGAATTCCTCGTCGTTGCCGAGTGAAAGGACCTCTTGTTTTCGAGCAATTGAGTTTTTCACTGTGAGCCGACGAGGTGCTGTCATCCAACCGAATACCGAGCCAAATATATCTGCGACGTAGGCCTCACTGATTGAAAGAATGATACCGCGTGTGTAGGTCCTCGGAGCTATGGAGCAAGGAGGCACCAGCTAGAGAATGAGGGACAGCAAGTAAACTCGTAACACAACTGCTGGCTCGTTCGGACCTTCGTACTCAGCGACAAAGGACACTCCTTTTCTTCTTTCGTCTCCTTTTTCTCTCCCGTTTATGCTTTTTCTCTACAGGGACCGGCCACGGCGCCTGCAAACAGATCATAAGCAACTCATTAGATGCGATCGAGCCAGCGAGCGAAAGAAGAGAAAAAGAAAGAAAAAAACAACGGACAAGCGCGTGAAAGAGGCAAGCATTGACTTACAGACCTTTGCAGTGTTCCTCTGCCTCGGCAAGTTTTTGTTCCAAGCCGATGGTGTAGTGTCAGCATTCCGCTGCGCGGCACTGCAGCAAAACTCCGTCTCTATCTCCGGGCGACTGTGCAAAATTTGGTTAGTTACTGGCACATCGCCAACTTTAAGATGATCCTCCTGGCGAGAAAACGATGGAGGGCGCGAGAGCCGGTGGTCCCTCCGGTTGGTAAAAGCTGGGCCTGCTACAAGGACCACCGAGTGAGCGAAAACAATCGAATGGAAATGACGTTAAGTCACGATTAAGCTCGAGCATACCTTTGCGATAAGTTGTAACAGTGCTGCTTTCCTTGATGGCTGCTTCCAGGAAATAGCGACAAGTTAGAGGAGATATACACATCTGCGAAGATCATCGCAGCTCACGGGGGGGCTCCAGTAGAGAGAGAGAGAGGACGTCCAGTCTCTCGTGTGATATCACACTCTCTCAGCTCTAAGATGATCTCGATGACAATAGAATAGTATTTTCCGAGTCAATCATCCAATCTCTCTCGGCGGCGAGCACCTCAAAAACAGTTAGGCAACTAAAACCCGTCCCTGACGAAACTCGTCCGGCCTTTGATATCGCCACCGCCATCATCGCTGAATCATCTATGAAGCTTAAAAACCTGCGCTCTTTTCACTTGACGACCGGCCAGCCAGAGAATCCAAGTCACAGGATGGAGCACAGAGGCATTTATCACCCGACCGACCCCCTCGATCCAATCACCACTGCGCTAATGTAAACTTCTAGATTGATATGAAGGTCCGCCGGGTGTTTTGATCGATCACAAGGGTGAGCGCTAGACTTTGATAGCGATTCTTCATCCTTCGCAAATGCGGGCTTGTGAAAAGAGGTGTACCCACAAGCTTTTGACTTACGGCCTTTTTTTCCCACCACGTGAAAGCGCAGGGATGCCGTGAACAGCATTCACTCTGACAAAAACCAAGAGCGCGAAGTGATTGTCGGCGAAAGATTTAAGGAAATTGCCATACCTTTGAAAGTCAAGATTGAAGTTCGGTGAAGCTTTTCAAGGGCGGAGAACTATCCTTGTACGGTGGCTACTTGCAAGTCGTCCGGAGCATCCGCATTTTCTATGCTGGCGGCGAGTTCGTCGTCGGAGAAGCAGTTTATCGACTGTATGGCATCCCCGATGTTAAAAGTTGAGAGTTCAGACTTGCAGAGCTTTTCGAAGGTTCCAAACCGCGCACCCTGCAGACCGCTCGATGAAAGCCTTGCGGCGATAGTGTTCAACTTTTTCCTGTTTGTCTTGATGCTTTCGAGAGCTTGTGAAAACTCCTCCGAGGAACGCAAGCTCTTAAAAGCCAGGAACGCTGCATTCTCGGACACCGGAATAACTTCCACCTCGGATGAGAACTGAGTCTCTTCGAAGCAGCTCTTTACCAGTTTCTGAAGCTGGCGGGATGAACCAACTGGGTCCTGTGACCAGACAATAACCGCGGCATCACTGGCAGGACGTCGGGCCGAGTAGCTTTCTCGTTCCGGCAATGCTTTAGAGCCTTTGGCTTCTTTCCCCGTCTTCAAGTCCAGCACGAAATGACCAGCCCAGCCCATGTAGAGAAGGTTGGAAAACTCCGAGATAGCGTGGGTTCCACGAAGGATTTTTTTCGAGAGTGCATAAAACTCGGTAGGATTGGAGACCACTGTCCGCCACAGCTGGGCAAAGATTGCGCCCGTCATATAAGCATCAAATCCTGCTTCATGTTTTAACTCCGCGTCAGAGTACCTGAACGGCCAGCTTATAAAAATCTGAGAGGAGAAATGTGCGTCACTCACTTGTGAAAGCCATCAGCAATTTCCACGTTCACTGTTGAATGTGCCTTCATTTTGGTGTTTTTCTTCGCATCCTCACCGAAGTAGTAGGAATACACGGGGTACAAAGACGTGGTACTGATGCTCGTCCGAAGAACTTTGAGCATGTACTTCGTATCTATGACGGCGGGAAATAGTTCGTGAATGACGTTGCAGAAACCGGAATAATTATCCGGGAGTGGTCCAATAAACTTGTTGTAGATGTGAGCAAGATCTAACCATGAAGAAAAAATAAGTGAGGTAAAGAGAAAAAAACAGAAAGAACCTAGAACGCAGTTATGGCCCACGATGGGTTTTTTCGACTCCGAGATTGCATCAATTACTTGCCGAAAACCCACTGCCTCCATCACATCATACTCCATGAGATCCAGCTTTGCCTTGTCAAGGTCGGCCTAGACAAGCATATTTTAAGCCGCTAGTGACATTTGTCGCTACAAAATAGTACCTGTAATGCAATTTTGTGCTCCGAGGACCCAGTGTAGATGACTTTCACCTGTGTCGCCTCTTTCTCATTACCTTCGATCATAGGCACCAAATCGTCGAAGTTACTACTCACGGCCTGAAATTTTGACACACTATCAGAGAAAGAAGAAGAAGAAAGGAAGACAATAGTACCTTCAAAACAAGTTTTGCTTGGCGCTTGTCAGAAACGTTGATGACTAGAGAAGGAAGTGGAGCTTCATCGTCAGGCATGGAAGAACGACCAGAAGACTCCTCCTGCTTGGCTTTGTGCTTGGCCATGATTTTGGACGCACGCCATAAACCAACTTGGAGTCTAACTCTCTCGCTGAAAATCAAGTCGGATGTCTTACGCATGGAAACTTCAGGAAGTTCGTCCTCTCCTTTTTTTGCAAGCAATGCCCGAAGTTTCCCTTCTTCTTTCCTCGATAGATACGAGATTCCTGCACTAAACGGCTTTTGCATAAGATCAAAACAAAAATCATCACAAGATTACCATTGTATATGCAAGCATTGAAATCGAAATGGTGCTTTGCCAGAAACTCTAGTGACGATGTCTGGCATAAGAAGTCGCGCTCAAGAACGAGCTCGTTTCGAGGAAACAAGAAAAAATTAAACCTGTGACAATGAAGCATGAAGAAAACTAGAGGAGAAAATAAATTCGAGAGAAGAGTTTTTACTTACGGGTGTCCCAAGAACTTGGAAGAAGCCTGATCGTATCGAAACAAGCACAGGCCACATTGCAGCAACGAGAATTTCTCTGCCGAATCCCTCACGTTGTGATACCTCGTCTCCAGCGTGTCGAGCTCCATGCTCTTGCGCCAGGGCGCGCTGTGCACCCCCGACATCTCTAGGTCCATCGCCACGAAATCCGCGTCGCGGAGGAGGCCCTTGAGCCGCTGGAATGCGGCCCCGAAATTCTGGCGCGTGATCGCGTGAGAGGAATCGCGCACGACTGCGCTGCAAAAGAACCTAATGCCGCTACCAGCGACACGAGCGCGGCGAGGCAGCGCTCTCCAGAGCGCCATTCTTCTCCAAAAACCCTAAACCCTAGCTAGCGGGAAAACAAACTAATCTAAACCTTGACCAGTCTAAACATTCATTGACCAAAGCCCAAGTCTTGACTACGGAATCAAAGCTTAGAGTCCACGATGTAATAAATAAACTCCCATCCAATTAGAGCGCGCCACAGTCAAAGTTAAAGCCTGTGATTGAAGCTTTTTGCGCATCCTCGCGTCCTCCAGTACTTCGTGGCTCGCACAGCGCAAGAACAAGGACGTTTGATAAAGGGAAAACAATGGCCAAACAAAGAGAAAGAAATTTTTTAACGGACGTGGCGGTGGCCATCGTGCCACTTCGTGGTTGGACGATCACAGAGAGTGGTACATGCTCCCTTGAATTCCTTGCTTGCGATCGCGTCCTTTTTAATTCATTTTGATGAGCATTGCCACGGAGAGCCTGGCAGCATCAGCTTTGATTTCCTTTTCTTTGGTTCCCCAGGAATCGACGCTTTCGACACTGCAAGTGCGCGAAATATCTCTTTAGTTTTGTGGATAAAAGCATTAGCTCGAAACAAGAGAAAGAAAGCTTTTTTTTTGACAATCGAAGGATCAAAGACATGATCGTTGATGTTAAGTGTCCCAATGCAAGTCAATGAATGGGAAAGGGATATTTACCTGTGGTTTCTATAGTTCTTCAATGGTTTTCGAGCATCTGGTTTCTCCAAAGCACGCGGACGATGGTATACGACACAGGAAAGCGTCGTGAAATCAAACGCTGCAATGCAAGACAGAAGAATTAGCTCTAAGAGAGACTTAAAAAGTTGTTTGGAAAAGAAACAAAATAAGCAAAATTAAGCAGAAGCATGCCAGTGTTTCTCTGCAAGTCAATGAATGCGAGAGATATTTACCTGTAATTTTTATTTTGTTCTTCGGGCATCTGGATCCAAACTTATCTTCCAAAGCAATCAGAAGATGGTACACGACACTTCGTGAAATCAAAGGCTGCAGTACAAGACAGAAAACTTTAACCAAGAGACTTAATAAAACGAAGTTCTGAAAGGAAAAAAAAAGAAAAAAACAGGAAATTTACCTCGTTTCGTGCTGAAATCTTTCGGGTTTATCGCCAAAGCAATCCCTGGGACGAAAAACACGTTCGTGTTCACGACGCGCAGCATCCCAGCCTCGTGACAGCTTAATGCTGCTCACATAGGTTTTTTTTTTCTCTCTGAGAAAAAATAAATAATCTCCGCCAGCGAAGACAAGGAAAGAATTCCGAGGCCCGGACAAAAAAGCTTCCAGGAAACCAATTGCAAGCCTACCTCATTGTGCCCGTGCCGTGCATCTCACTTCCTCTTTCTCCTCACTCGCAGGCTCACAGCTGCTGGCAGCGATCCATCCAAATCCTGCCACAGCCGAGAGCGATGCGTAGCGACGAATTGGATGATGGCGCCGGTGGGGACTGACAATCGCAAACAAAACCCCCTTAAACCCTAATCTCCGTGCCCAAGAACCCTAATCCCTGCCCACGTGGCGATAACGATGATCCCACTGACGCACGATCGAATCCGTGGGGCCTCTACCAAAATTTTCCAAGCGCGAATATAATGCGGCTGTGAACGGCGGCCTGACGGCCAAGCAAGGCAGCCGGCCGGTAGTTTCGCCACGCGTCGCTATTGGAGACTTCTTAGCCGTTGGCCTCCAGCACGGACGGCCCAGATCCAGTCTCCAGAGCCTTCGCCCGCTAATCCTATCTCAAACGCGTCATTAGCGCTAATGCGCGGCCTGTGCGGCCAGCACGTGGCGGCGGGATGGCCGTCGATGCGGTCCATCACACGGTCAAGAACGCCGTCACTAATGCGTGTGCTCAATAGGGCTACATTTTGTATGCGTCTGTCGGCCTAGGGTTTGACGAGCCAGGAGGTGGAAGAGCGTCGTGATCTGTGAGGGAGCGCGGCTACAGGATTTCTTGTCGATTTGCTCGCCTCGATCGGCAACCAGTGGTTTCCCCTCACATTTCCGCCAGGAGTAACAGTGATCTCCTCGACGCACCCGTCGCCTCTCCTCGCCGAGGCGCTCTCTTTTGTTTCTGGAGTAGAGGATGATCAAGATCTGGCATTTGCATTGAGGACGCTCTCAGGGATCCCGATGTGATTCGTCCGGATCGAAATATTGGCCCCCCTCTCTGGCTCGGTTGTGGAGATTTCCTCGCCGCGAAGAGTCTTCCGTCTGAGAGGTATGCGGAAGCTCGGAATCTCCATTCCATCCTAGAAATATTGTGCTTACCGGGCTCTGCGCGGCTGCCCTCTCTCTTTCAGGCCAGATCTCTCCATCTCGCCAAGATGAGGAGCTTCCAGGGACCTGTCCAGATTCAGAAGCCCATGGCCTTGCCCGAGGTCTGCTATGGCGGATTGTCTGGCATCCATGCGGCTCAACTTCGCGAAGTGGGGCGGCGGCGCATAATCGTGCAAATCGACACCGGCAATGTGCTTGGCTTGGAGCTGGACAGGTCCGAGAAAGTCCAGTCCGTGAAGAAGAAGGTCCAGGCAGCGCTGTCCGTCCCGACTGAGCAGAGCGCGCTGGTTTTTGGCGACCATGTCATCGAGGACGATCTCAGTGAGGTCCGGAGCGACACTCCACTCTTGTTGACGCGGGGACTGCACAGGAGCTCTTCCACGCCGTGCCTGTCGCCAACGCTAGATGTCTCCCCGCCCAAGGACTGGAGCCAGCCAGTGGAGCTTGTGGGAGGCTCGTCCGAGTGCTCTCCGGCCATGAAGCAGCTGATTCAAGACTCGGTGGAGGCGATCCATGGCGGCGTGGTGCCGGTGCTGGCCACTGGTGGTCTGGGCGGAGCCTACTACTTGAAGGACTCGAGCGGACAGAGCATTGCCATCGTCAAGCCGACTGACGAGGAGCCCTTTGCGCCCAACAATCCCAAGGGGTTCGTGGGCAGGGTGCTGGGGGAGCCGGGGCTCAAGAGGTCGATTCGTGTTGGCGAGACGGGCGTTCGGGAAGTAGCAGCTTACTTGCTGGACTACGGGAACTTTGCGCGAGTCCCTGCGACATCTCTGGTGAAAGTTCGTCACTCGGTCTTCAACGTTAACAGGGAGATCAGTGTGAGCTACCAGGGGGAGGGGTCGCCCGTTGCAAAGATTGCCTCTTTCCAGCAGTTCGTGAAGCACGACAGTGACGCAAGTGACATTGGGACGTCCAGTTTTCCGGTCTCGGCAGTTCATCGCATTGGCATTCTGGATGTCCGGATCTTTAACACTGATCGACACGGTGGTAACATTCTTGTGCGCAAGGTGGAGAATGGGGGGTGGAGAGGTGGTTCTTTTGAGCTGGTTCCCATCGATCACGGGCTCTGCTTGCCCGAGACTCTGGACGACCCTTACTTCGAGTGGCTCCACTGGCCACAAGCCTCGATGCCGTTTTCAGAGGAGGAGCTGGAATACATACAGGCACTGGATCCTTACGAGGACGCGGAAATGCTCCGGAGGGAGCTGCCGATGCTGAGGGAAGGCTGCCTTCGGATGCTGGTCCTCTGCACCATCTTTTTGAAGAACGCGGCTCGCTCGGGGCTGACTCTCGCGGAGATAGGCGCCATGATGAGCCGTGAGCTTTGTGGTGACAACGAAGAACTCAGTGAGCTGGAAAAGGTCTGTATGGTGGCCAAGCTTCAGGCGGACAAGGCTTTGGCCGAGGAAACTGAGGAGGAGGAGGAGGATCAGATCGATGAGGAGGACCTGGAGCTGGAAGACGACATCCTGGGCAACTTCTCGATCGAGATTGACGAGGAATCGGGTGGCGAAGTGGTTGCTGATGAAGCGGATAAAGCAGCGGAGGAAGAAGAGGAGGGGGAGATGCTGCACGACGCCATCCTGGGCGAGCTCGGGAAGAACAATCCTGGAAACGGCTACTACGCCGGACGGAACGTTCTACTCCGCCTTCGTCCGTTTGGGAGTCCCAAGTACAGCAGCTACTACAAGAACAGACAAGACACCAACAAGCTACGGAGGTATTTCAGTGCGCGCAACACTTGCTCGCTTTCACATCAGCGCCACCACCACCACTACCACCACCACCATCGCCGCCGCCGCTCCTCATCTTCGTCGACTGGGTCAGCGGCAGCAGCGGCGCCATCAACACCAGTAACATCGTCGGCACCGGGAGCAGCAGCAGTGGCAATCCCAGCGGGGGACACTCCGGAGAACTTGGTGTTCTCTGCGATGAGCGACGAGGAGTGGGAGGCGTTCCTGGGACAGTTTGAGGAGCTGCTTGAGGATGCGTTCGTCCGGCGCAAGACTGACAACCTCAATTTTGTACAGAGGCTGGGAACATCTTGCCAGTTTTAAGTGTGGTGAGTAGTTTCCCTTCAATGTATAATGTAGATAGCGTGAGAGAGAAGAGAGAGAGAGAGGGAGATGGAAACTTTTTTTTCTAGTAGTGTTAGTGAGTGAGTGTTCTTTCTTTTTCCCTTGCGAGCTCGCTAGCTAGCTACAGAGCCGAGCGACGAGAAGCCATAGCCAGCAAGCAGGAGCAGCATTTGTTTGGATAAACGAAGAAAAAAAGAGTTTTTGTAAGCGTGTCCTTACCATGTACGGTAGAACACTAGTTGTCAACAATGTGCGGCAGGACAATTTTCATTGTACGGTAGAACACTAGGTGTTCGTACTGTGTACGGTAGGGCATTTCTTTGTACGGTCGATCGTGGGGAGGCCGTTAAGGGGGCAGGGGGTTTTTAAAAACTCGGCGTTAAGGGTTTAAAAGTTTTTTTAGGGCTGAGGTGCAATGTAGCTGGAGCTGGCCGCGAGAGCGCTCGATCCATGGCGAAGGCCGCGTCGCCGGGGGCGGATTTGGGGAAGAAGGGGATGGCTTCCCGAATCTGGTGCGTGCTGGACTCGAATGGGGAGCCGGTGACGCTGGACATGGACAAGGCGGCGGTGATGCACCGGGCGGGGATCCATGCTCGGGATTTGCGCATTCTGGACCCGCTTCTGTCGTATCCATCCACGATTCTAGGTCGGGAGAGGGCGATTGTGCTCAATTTGGAGGTATGTAGCTCAGCGACATCGCTTTTTGGCTCACGCCTTGGCTTGAATCAATGCGCAGCATATCAAAGCGATCATCACTGCCGAGGAGGTGAGCTCCATCCAGTTCTTCCTCCTGTGATCCTTCCTTCTCCCTTTTTGTGTGAATATTTCCCAGGTGCTACTCCGCAATCCAACCAACGAGCATGTCATTCCAATTGTGGAGGAACTACGTCGACGCTTGCCTCTCCAGACTCTGGAAAATGGAGCCGAGGCTCTCGCGCTTTTGGAGAGAACAGACAGCAAAAAATCCGGAAGAAAGTCAAGCGTGCAAAGTGACCCCGAACGGGGTGAAGGTGAGTTGCTAGAAACAGAGTTTCCTTCCTCTCATTTTCTATATTTCAGTCACCCCTTTCGAGTTTCGGGCCTTGGAAGTAGCACTGGAAGCGATTTGCAGCTTTTTGGACGCACGAACAACCGAGTTGGAAACTTCGGCATACCCGGCTCTAGACGAGCTCACGTCAAAGGTAAAGCCTCTTTCTCGTCGAACAGCATACTAGAGCTACGAGTTTTCCAGACATTCATGAGCGCTGGCTTGCATCTTCCTCGCTCATTGTATCTGGAATGCAGATCAGCAGCCGGAACTTGGATCGTGTCAGGAAGTTGAAGAGTGGAATGACTCGGCTCATTTCTCGTGTCCAAAAGGTAGTCATGCTTTTCGTGCCTTGTCCTTCCCATTATTTCGTTGTTGACATCACAGGTAAGAGACGAGCTTGAGCAACTCTTAGATGACGATGACGATATGGCCGAGCTATTCCTCACGAGAAAGGCAGGCTCCTCGACACTAACTCCAGCCTTGCTGAGTAATTTTCCTGCGTCGCCAGTGCTTGGCTCAAAGCTTTCGGCAGTGAGCAGAACAAAGTCTCTTGCCTCTACTCACGGCAGTGACGACGATGTTGAAGAAGTGGAAATGCTGCTCGAGGTACTCAGCTTGCGTACAACACGGTTTATTTGCTTTTGCTTACACTTAGACATGGTTTCTTTTATTCAGTGCTACTTCATGCAAGTGGATGGTACTCTGAACAAGCTTAACACGGTGAGTTCGTCCATTCGCCCCAGTGACTGAGCTAACTAGCTGCGTTTCACATCCTTCCAGCTTCGTGAATACATAGATGACACGGAAGACTACATAAATATCCAGGTTTATTTCCTCTTTCGCGTTTCCCTTAATGAAACTTAGTATGTCAATGTTGCAGCTTGACAACCACCGCAATCAACTTATACAGGTTGAAAGTGGTGCTGATTCCTCCTTCTCGCTGATTTTATCCATGTGTGGATTCCAGTTGGAGCTAGTTCTCAACGCGGCTACGCTGGCAATGGCGTTGTATTCGCTGGTGGCTGGAATTTTTGGGATGAACATACCTTATCCCTGGAACGACGACCACGCCTACATTTTTAAATGGGTTTGCAATCTCTTGCGTTGCTCTCCATGGTTCGTTCATTCACAACATTGTGTTTTTGGTTTTATCGTGGCCGCAGGTCGTGGTTGCGGGGTGTATGCTTTGCGTTGGTTTGTTCTCCATCGTCATGGCCTACGCTCGCCATAAAGGCCTCGTTGGGACGTGAAGAAAAGATTTTCCGGCTGTAAATAATTCATAGAATCAAAAATCTTCTGACCGAGAGCTTGGCTCTAGTTCTCTTGCGTGACTATGTACAAAGATGGTGAAGTCTGACGGGAACAACACCAATAACCATATGCAAATGGCGTTGCAAGAGGCAAGAGACTTTGTTTTAGCCGCTAGTGTTGACAAAATATGTCTGCAAATGAAAGAATTTGCTAGATGCTTTAAATCTTGTTGTGCGCAACTAAGTTTTATGAGAGTTCAAGCACCGCCCATGGTCTCTTGCCATTACAATTATGAAGTGTCATGCTATTGACTACCACATGCCTCCTTTATAATGCTCCAGTTTCATATGAGGTTGTCGTTCAGAAGGTGTTGAAGGATGATGAAATACATTTTCAGCTAATAAAAAGATATAGCAAATATATGATATCATCCCCCATTAATATTTAGCACTGAGCAGTAACTAAAGACTTGATTAAAGAAAAATGAGAAGCAGGGTTCCACTTTATACCATACCAATACTTAGAATCAAGCAACCTTAAACTGTAGCTTAAGAGTAGTGATCTAAAGAGGAGGAGGTGGTGAATACAAGGAAGATCCATGATACAGCCATTGTCCACGAAAGGCATGCCCATGGAGCATGTCCAAAGCCCAAATCCTCTAGCATGTGGCCATGCCTACAATCCTAGAACTTAGAGCAATCCTTCATTAATTGCACAGGCCTAAAGATCTTCAATATGCATAAAATTCATCATTCTAGCATACCACTTTCCATCACCATACCAGAACATCCTGTTGCAGCCCCGCTTTGAAGCCAAGCCATGTTGCTCACTTTGTAAAGAATATGACATTTTCCTTGAGGCATGAAATCTAAGGAGTTAAGACTGAGTTTATGGCAACCCACTAATGAAATATTGCGGGAGTGTATACCAATGCCTTCCACCTCAAATGTCTTCCAAAAGCTGCTGAAGAAAACACTGCTTTATGCCTTTTGAGGTGGAAGGCATCGGTATACACTCCCACAGTATTTCATTGCCTTAGTGGGTTGCCATAAATTCAGTCTTAACTCCTTAAATTTCATGCCTTCAAGACTGGTGTCTACTGTAAGACACTGCTTGATCCAAGAGCTGTTGTAAAACCATGGATGAAGGAAGATGCCTCCCGTTAAACACCATCCTGATTCACTCTCTCTCCGCTTACCTGGCGATGACGTGGCATCAAAAACCTAAAAACGTTTCTGTTTCTTTTATGATCAAGCATGGCAGCAGCACATCAATTTCCAGAGGTAAGCAATCAATTCAATTTCATATTGATTCAAAAAAATCATTTAGGATCCCCCATGGCTTGATGAGGTGCAAGAATTCCATGAAAAGGATTATTTTTGTGCAGATGATTTAGATTGGAATTTGTCTAAATCAAATGAAACTATAGCTCCTATTGTGTATATATTCCAGAAGGATGTGAATAAGTTTCTAGATGGTGAGAGGAGAAGGGGTGATGGAGTGGATTTTTGGCGATTTTCTAACAAAAATCGTGATCCCGGAGATTTGAAACGACCCAAAAACACAAGTTTTTTATCATTAATCAGGTATATCTTTTTAACAAAATATAATTACTAACTTCATGCTACAGGTATTGGTGTGAATATGGAAAACAAGATGCTCGTGAAACATCCTCTATTATGGTTGCTGAATCTACACCAAAGTCAGGATTTGGAAGTAGACCAGGTCGAAGTTCTAATAAGCGGGGCTGCCTTTGCAATTTTTTGGTCAAACAGTTTTACAAATGGCCTGATTATGTGCAGATTACATATTATCATAGAGAACATTGTGATAAGAATGGGATTCCTTGTCATGGTCAACTTGATCCGACTGGAGGAAAGTCATTATTTCCTCAGAAGCTTTCAGCAGATATTCGATATTGGGTGATTCATATGATTCAGCAGGATTTCACATCAAATCAGATTTATAATGAGCATATACAGATTGTGGAAAGGAACAAGTTAGCTGGTGAACCTCCTCATCGAGATGATTTTCTAACTATGCAGGATATCAACAATTTGCATAGGAAGTATTCACTTTCAACTTATCGATTACATGAGAATGACGCATAGAGTGTACGTATTTGGAAGAACACAAATCCCGAGAAAGTTCAATTCATGCAGCTTTTCATGATGATAATATTATGCGAGCTGAGATTAAACAACTTATTGAACATTTTGAGGTGGATTTTCAAAATGAAGTAGCCTTTATCAAGTATTTTCAAGACGAATGGAAGGACAAAGTTGGTAAGTGAATCAATAATTTAATTTTTATAATTTATTTTAATTTATATTTGATAGATATGTGGGTTGTTGCTGCTCGAAATTTCCCTCATGCTAACAAGGAAACAAATAGTTCGATTGAGGCATTCCATGCAAATATGAAAGCTATACTCTCGTACGATAAAAAACATGCTCGCAATCGAAGGATGGATTGGGCAATTCATCAACTTACTACTAAGGTTCATGCGAGGTACTGGTTTACTACTTATTGCAAAGATCATGGTTTTATCCGAAACCATGCATATGAAAAGCTAATCGATGGTGCGATTGTTAAAGCAAGAAATATTAACGACTCTCAAGTAAAATTCGATAAGAACAATACTCACAAATCTTATGTACAATCCTCTTCAGATCCAACTATATGGTATCTTGTTATCAGAGGTGAAGGACATAGTGATTGGGCTTTTTCGACTTGGTGTAATTGTTCGTGGGCAATTAAAGGAAACTTTTGCAAGCATCAAGCAAAAGTTATTATGTTAAAACAAGGAGAAAAAACCAATTAGACTACAACTAGTTATGAGGTTCAACCATCACAATCGCATGCAATCTTAGAACCTGGGCCAGATGATTTATTTTATCGTCATCAAGATTTTGAAGCACTTGACTTGGAAGCTATGACAGAGGTAATTCACTTATTAATTAAAATTTTGAAATACTTATAAAAATTTGAGCAGGAAAACATCCATCAAGATGTTTATCATGAGCAAGAAATTCAGTTGGAGACTACATTAGAGGTAAACTAACATATTTTATATACTAAGATATATGAATATTGAGCAGGAAGATATCCATCAAAATATACAGCATCAACAAGAAATTCAGCTAAGGACTACTATAGAGGTAATTTACACTAAGTAAATTTTAAATATTGATATGAACTTTAAGCAGGAGGATATCACTCCATCAAAAGTTACAAAAGTGACACTACAACAAAAGATGATGGATATCATACAAGATCTTCCTGATGAAGAAGCTTTTTTATCTATGGTTGACAACGATTTAGAAATGATACAGCAGAAGGTTGCAACTTTTAAAGCCAGGCCAGACGATCTTATTCATCCTGCAGCAGAATTTCAACAACGTGTTAATAGTTATGGTACATCCTTGAAACGAGCAAAACCTTTGGTGGAAAGAATTACAGGTAAAAGAAAAGCTTCTAGTAGTCCAGAAGCAACTCCTTTTACTAGGCAGAGGAAGACAAGAAAGAAAAGCTCTTTAAACGAAAAACTCAATCTTAGCAAAGAATAAATAAAAAAACAAACTCTTTATATACTTACATTGCATATATTTAAATTAGTGAGAAGATTTCATAAGTTTACCACTCCTAATGGATGATCATCCATGACACTCATTGGCCACATAAAGCACGTAGAAAGGCATCCACGCGCGCGCTGATTGAAATTTGGCTAAGTGTTGGGGCTGTGGCCACGTGGAAGTAATTTTAGGGCGCACGCTGGGCGCGGGCGGACGTGCGGGGGCGGGTGGGAGTGCGGGCAGGAGCCGTGAGGGCGAGCGGGCGGGCGGGAGCCGCGGGCGGGCGATAGCCGCGGGCGGGAGCGTGCAGCGGCGACGGACGGGAGAGGGAGTGCGCTGGAGATAAAACAAAAAGGAGGGCTGATGCCACGTCATTGCCAGGTAAGCGGAGAGAGAGTGAATCAGGATGGTGTTTAATGGGAGGCAAGGAAGATCAAGCTAGTAAATGAACTTGGAAGTGCAAGAGAGCATAGAAACATAGTTTAGATGTTGATAATTAAAGATATTGCAAGAGTGCGTGGTCTTCCTAGAGGCCAAACCTTTGATCAAATTGAAAAAGAAGGCTAAATTAGAAGTATTGACAATAAACAATATAGGCATGATGATGAACTTCTTTATAAATAGAATCCAAAATAGTAACATGAGTAACAACATAATTATTTGTAACACTAGTAGCATACTATTATCATAGTTCTTGAGTAAAATATCAACCATTTTAACTAGTCTAACACATTAATAAAATTGAGTGTGGTTTGTTGCAGGGATGTCACTTTGTAGTATATAGTTAGCCTATATAGTTTAAAGCCAAACTATAAAATTAGACAAATGTGCTCCTAGTGTTATAAGCAGAAGGAAGTAAATGAACTCAATTATTTTATTCATGAGAAATAAAACATTGAATTTACTGTTCAAAATTTTGAATAGTATACTTCGATTACAAATTAATTTGAGGATGGTGAAATGTTGAAGGAAAGAAACTAGTAAAAACGTGAATATAAATTAAGGATTTTGATAATTGACATTATCATGAAAGTGGAAGATCTCCTTGTAGATAAGCTTAGTTGATGTTCTCCATTAATCATTTTCTAACATGCAGTTAGAAATGTCTCATTTTAAAAACTATTAAACCACAACTCAAATCCTTAAAAAAGTGAAAGAAAACTGAAGAAATCTATAAAAATAAATTTTAAAGACCTTGGATCAAAAGAAAGTGGTTGTAAAAGACCAAATATAAGATGTTAAGCCATTTTAATCTGTTAACATATATTGCAAGTACAGATGAAGTTTTTGATATGATGCCACCAAAACATTAAAAGAATAAAATCTTGAAGAATAGGATCACTCTTCTAGAAAAAGGTGAAAAACGAGAACTAGTAAAGAAAAAATCTAACAAATCCCACACAAAAAGCTGCAGTAGAATAAGTCAACCAAGTTATAAAGCTTGAACTTGTTGAAGTTCTTTGCTAAATTAAATAATTTAAGTTATAGATA